TGGTTGTGTTCCGATAGCGTGAGGAAACTTGTAAGACCCAGAGAGACGGCTGTTGGATATGATATTCCTCTTCCTGTGAGGTTAGAGGAGACTGGCTGTGTTCCGATACGTTACCTTGGAACGCAGCTGGCAGAGGGACTTTTCCTTTGGACGGTGATACTGAAAGATAGACGACCCGAAAGGACTCATTACCTAGAAGGGGTGGGACATCTGATAACGGATAGAGTTCATGATTTAGACGTAGGGCTGACACTCGCAGGGGCTAGCAGGGCTTGGTGGAGAAACGAGTTGTTGGCCAGAGTGATCGTTAATCAGCAAACTGGCGAGACTCTCAGGAGGAAGGTCATGAGGAGACTGGCTGTGTTCCAAATCCTATAGCGTGAGGAGACCCAGAGAGACGGCTGTTGGATATGATATTCCTCTTCCTGTGAGGTTAGAGGAGACTGGCTGTGTTCTGATACGTTACCTTGGAACGCAACTGGCAGAGGGACTTTTCCTTTGGACGGTGATACTGAAAGATAGATGACCCGAAAGGACTCATGACCTAGAAGGGGTGGGACATCTGATAACGGACAGAGCTCATGATTTAGACGTAGGGCTGACACTCGTAGGGGCTAGCAGGGCTTGGTGGAGAAACGAGTTGTTGGCCAGAGTGATCGTTAATCAGCAACTGGCGAGACTCTCAGGAGGAAGGTCGTACTAGAGTCGCTTGGTATATGGACTTCCGTATCCGACCTTCTACCCGGAAGAGGGTTGGCGATTTGGACTTCCTGCATTCGTAATAGGGCAGACCTACGGGAGTGTAGACCGTCTGAGTGAGGTAGTGGACCACACACTTTACGCGCTTTGGGAGGGCTTAGCTCCCCGTTTCAGGGAAGCGTACTACTCCATTTGTGTAAGGTGGGGGCCACCCAGCAGAGAGACGCTTGACGACATCATAGACGCTACTTGCTGGGTGGACTGTTTGAGGCCAGTCGATCTGATTAGGCACTGCAGGAGACGACCGGAGATTGATTATGTGGGGCTGGAGGATGTGAGGTTTCTCTTCGAGGACGCAGCTTAGGGAATGTCGGGGAGAACGGCAACTGTGATGCGCTTAGATAAGCAACTGGTCAGCACAGGGTACACTGTGACGGTACTTCTTCGAGCATACATAGATGATGACTTGACGGTGAGGGAGTGCCGACTACGAGCTAGGGATTTGATCCTCGAGCATAGGGCTGATGTACTGGCGCAGGTGACCTTCCAGACCTCGATTTCCTATGATGTGATGATGTGGTCTCATGGTTATATGCGCGTGGAGCACTACCACGATGAGACGGTAGCAGAGGCTAGAGCGAGGGTATGAGGATGAGCTGGAAAACGATGTGGACAGAGTATGGAAGAGGAAAGTGAGGCGGTCGGAAGAGTGAGAAAGCGCATTAAAGAACCACTCTTGAACCGGGTAAAGGAGTTGGGGAACAAGATAAGGGAGATCGGGTCGTGCCAGGATGAGGGCAAATTGCGTAGGGTTGAGCTCGCGACAAAAGAGTTAGAGAGTATCTTCAGGGAGGATAAAGAGATTATCCAGGCGTGGAGATCAAACTTTCAGGAGAGGGTAAAGGCTAGGAACCTATCGCGCGAAGGAGTTAAGGAAAAGTCTGCAGAGGACGTAACAACGAAGGACAAGGTAACGCAGGGGGATAGCAACATGACATGAGCGGGACTGCACTATACACGAGGGACAGGTACTCATTGCATGTGGTAGGGAGACTGGACGGACCGTTGGTGTTAGTGATTGCAGAGCTCCAGCTCCATACCAGGTTGTGCGTAGTTGAGGAGGCAGAGTATGTTTGCCGTGCACTGCAAGAGGCTAGGGGAACAGGACTTTGGATTGGAGTGGAAGGAGGACGAAGGATAAAATACGTACTTCGCGTAACACCTTTCGAAGGGCGGCCTCAGATAAGGGCGTGGTACGAGACGTCCAGAGAGGCTGAGAGGTTGAAGATAAGCGAAGCCAGGAGAGTTGGAGAGCTAGGGAGAGTTATAGTAGACGGAGCAATACTCAGGGTGCTAACTGCTCATGACCGATACTGGAGGGAATCGATAAAGACTTTAGAGGCCATAGAGGATAGTGGAGATGAGGAAGAATTTGAGGCGTTCTATGATATATTGGAGTTGTCGGCGACGAGATTACGAGCAGCTATAGCGCTGACCTGTCTCAGATGCTAGACAGATGACCCTACCTCCCGAGGAGTTGCAGCGGAGGAGATGGAAGTTTGGTGGATGAAGTGGACCACTACCACACGAGAGAGAGAGACTGTTACGGGGACTAAGCGGGATTAGTCGCAGGGAACTGGTTCCTTATGACGTCGTTGCCTATCAGGAAGCGAACAGTGGTTAGGAGCGCAACCAATTCTATGTTATGACCGTGTACTTTCCGGGTCTCGACACATATCACATAGGGATATACTTGTCAAGGGAGAGAGAGGAGTTTTGTACGTACACAAGGTGCTGGAGGATAGTTGCCCGGAAGTTAAGGGAGGAGAAACAGAGATTAGAAGCACTTGGGAAGATAGTCGAGGTCAGTGATGACATAGCCATTTTCGATACCCTGCCTAGACCCCCGATTCCTGACAAGGGATTAGCTCACAACGAGTAGGAACCAACTGTGGACTTTGTCAGGATGGTGAGAGGAGCGGCTAGAGATGGCGATAGGAGGAGAGTTCCCTCCGTTTGAGGGTCACCCGAGTCAGGAAGGACTAGATGGTCTTAAGAGGAGGACGGAGATAGACGCACGAGCACTGTTGAGGGGCGCTACTCAGGAGACATTGGTTAGACTTAGGACCACGATCTGCAACAGGCGAAGGGATCCTGTTACGGGTGAAGTGCAGATCAGGAGAGGGGCGGCCTTGTTGACAGAACCCGAAGGATAAGTTTACATGGGCACAGGGATTATTGGGATAGAAGAGGAATACGAGGTCCGCGACCAGAACGGAGTATTAGTGGCAGTGATCAGAGCAGCCGAGAGCTAGGGTTGGAGACGGACGCGAACCGTGACAAGTAGACAGGTCCGGGCTGCGAGTTCGGTCATAGGTCCGGGTTGCTGCTACTGTCATAGGTCCGGGCTGCTGCTACTGTCATAGGTCCGGGCTGCTGCTACTGTCATAGGTTCGGGCTGCTGCTACGGTCATAGGTCTGGGCTTATACGGGGTGAGAGTGCCCGACTGCAACTTCTAGTAGTCTATGGAATCAGACGCAATGGAGCCACAATCGATCGCGGGCCAAGTAAGAGAGGAGTACAGGACATTGCCCGACCGTGCACTGAGGGGACTGAAGGAACGAATTAGGCTGGGAGCACCTCTGAGATGGGCTGACCAGACCAATGACGGGGAACCTGACGTAATGGTCGAACCAGTCGTGACTGAGCCGGAGGAGGCATTGAAGACAGGAACCTCGAGTGGTCGACGAGAAGCGACGAGACGACGCTCCCCCGAGTATGAGCGGAGGGAAACCATGGCGGATAGGCACAGGGACGACTGGAGAGAGAGTTTGAGGTATTGGAGGGACAAAGATAGAGACAGAGCGCTGCCCAGGCGAGCCTTCGACCCCAAGACAGGGGAGTCGCATCCGCTTCCTTACGAGAGTAAGGATCGCTATATTATTACGCACAAGGCCTCTGAGCCTCCCACTTTTAGGGGTTATGGCATCACAGAATATCTGGAGAAGTGGGAGCTTCATGCGAGCCGGAGTCAGTGGTCGGAGGAGGAGATTGTGGAAAATTTCCTATTTAATGTAGATCCAAGTCTTGGCAAGGAAGTTAAGGAAGCCCGACCGAAGGATGGAAAATGGACCACGTATAAGAAGAACCTCATTGAACTTTACAAGTTGGAGGATAACAAGTACTCCATCAAGGACCTTGAGACCATGACTCAAGATGAGGACGAGAGCGTTAGGGCATTCGGAAAGCGTTTCCAGAAGATCTCAGAGGTCGAGCGCTGTACTATTTTTATTGGACACCTGTCCAAAAGGAGACAAAAGAGTATACTTAGAGATTTTATGCGCGACAAGCTTGACTTCCCTGAAGTCCTTAAGCTCGCGATAAAGGCAGAGGCAGACGACTACAAGGGTCTGGTATGGAGAGGAATGAGGAGGCGAGACTTCTCTCTCTATAAAGAGTATGCCACTGATAAATGCCCTGACTTCAAGGACTATCCGTGGTTGGAAAAGAATGAGGCGGTAGCTGAGGAAGTGAAGGAGATAAGGGATATGGTAAAGGGATTGACTAGGCATGTTACAGAGATTGTGACCAATATGGGAGCCACGACATACCGGGACAAACCCGGAGGGCCCTATTCACTTCGGTGGGACCGTAGGAACACCGATTCCTGGAGGAGTGTCGAGGATAGAAATCCTCGAACGCTAACCGATTATCGAGTAAGGGAAATGGAGAGAGAAAATGAGCCATGGCGACGAAGGGATGATGAGATAGACCGAGACCGTAGGGTTCGCGAGACGTATGGGCGAGCAAGGAGACGGGATGATTACTCGCGCAGTCCTCGACATGAGGTTGATGGGGATAGGAGCGACCCACGGGGTCGATGGGAGTCGGACCGAGATCGGCGAGACGGATACAGTGACGACAGATACGAGAGGTCGGACCGAGATGGAAACAGGCAAGGCAGGTATGAGAGAGGAGATCGAGTCGGAGATCGTCGAGATGACTCGCGTGGAAGGTATGACCACGGGGGATTCGCGGGAGATCAGCGCGACGATTCGCGGGGTAGGTACGACCGAGGAGACCGGCGTGATGATTCACGCGGGCGATACGACCATGGAGACCACCGGAATGATTCACGGGGACGATATGACCAAGGAGGATCTGGAGGAGACCGGCGCAATGACTCGCGCGGCCGGAATGATTGAGGGGGATATGGTGCCTCATCTGAACCGTATCCCAAGTCCCCTGACCTGAGGGCAGTGAGGGGGGCGATTTCGAGGAGTGTAGACGACAGGCCACCCACTCCTAGGAACTCTTGCGTCTACTGCATAGGAGATATCATATCAAGAGAGATTGTCCGGATCTCAAACGGGCAATAGATGAGGGACTTGTCGTGCTTGATGACCGCAAGTACATCAAGTGGGCAGGTGATTTGGGAGATGTATCAATGTTCCCTTCGATGAATGAGAATGTAGAAGCGAGGAGAGTGAGGCCGAGTAAGGGAAAAGAGCCGGTAAGGAGCCAGAGCATTAGGATAACTTTCGAAGGAGATATGGCAGCTGCACCCATAAGGGTGGCAGCAACGAAGTCGGCAAGAGGGTCTGCATCGAGGAAGACTGACACAGATTATGTGATGGCAGAAAAGGACGGACAGCGGGTCGATGGCGAGGAGGTTATACTTTCACCACGAAAGCAGGGAGTGAAGAAGTTCTTCATGAAGAGTTCGCTGGATGATATTGACACGGTCGAGCCACTGAGATGGGCCCTTCGGCAGCCCATGCAATGCTTTATACTAGAATATCTGGCTGCATCCAAGCCGGCTCAAGACGAGTTACAGACGATCACGCGAAAGTCTCGCATTCCACTATCAGAGGAGGTTCAGGTGGCCCCTAACGCGGATGCTCCTACTGTAGCAGTATCGGAGGTGACCGCAAGAGCAGATCGCATGGCAACAGTTCTTCTTGATGGGATGGAAGGTGTCCCTCCGGACAAGTTTTACATACTTGGTAGTGGGACCGTGGAGGCGATCCTAAACGTCGGAGCCGTTCTAGATGCAGTGATCGATAATGGCAGTGAGGCTGTCATTATAGACGAGGATCTGGCAGAGCAAGTTGGTCTGGGGCTCGATAGGACACACTTATTCGAAATAGAGACGGCTGATGGGAGGAAGCAACAGATCACAGGAGTCTGTCACAAGGCAGCCATAGAGGTTCAAGGAGTACGAGTGACCATGTAAGTCTTTGCAGTCAAGAACTGCAGCTCCGACCTGCTCTTGGGGCGGAGATGGTTGAGTCATGTGCATGCAGTGACGATAGAGCGATCAGATGGGAGCCAGACACTATCCATTAAGAAGCTAGATGGGACTCGGGTTATGATTGAGACGGTGGAGCCTCGATACCCGAGAAACAGAGCAGCTCTCGCTGTGGGTGCTGGGCCCAGCGATCGGATTAAATCATTACCTATCTCCAGCCGCACGGTGCGATTTCGCGAGAAGAAGTATGAACCTCTGCTCACGGAAGGAGAAGGCCGGATTATAGAAGTGGAGGATTTAGGGAGCCGAATGATAGTGGACGGCAACTCGTATCCAAAGGAGTCAAATGAGGAATTTAGTGGCATAGTATCTTTTTTAAGGGCACAACCTCCTATGGGGGGCAGCTTAAGCGACACAAGTGAGTGGCTCAGAACGTAAAACCAACAGCAGTGGGCGGCGAGCGATCTGCGCTGGAAGGGATATCGGAAGGAGAGATCGCGAAGGAAATTAAAGAAAGGAAAAAAAAGGAGCCGCAGCGCCTAACGGAAGAGAGGATAGCAGGAATGGACATCGGAGATGGAAATCTAACCCCATAGGAGCGGGAACGTGTCAAAGAAGTTTTAAGGACGTGCGATAAGACCATAGCTTTCAGTGACGCCGAGCGCGGAAGGGTGGACCCTCGTTACGCTAAACCAGCGAGGATTTACACGATTCCACACGTTCCATGGAATGGCGCAGGGTGGAAATACGCCCAGAAGGAGAAGGAAGAGGTTATCGCTTTCCTGAAAGAGAAGATGGCTTCTCATGTAGCAAAGCCATCTGACAACACTTATGCTAATCGATGGTTCTTCCTACGAAAACCGAATGGCAAGATCCGGTGGATCCAGAACCTGCAGAAGGTCAACGCGGTGACGATCCCGAGACGTAGGCTCTGTACCTCACGCCGACATACTGGCTGAAGGCGCCGCGGGCATGTCGATTTATTCGGTTTGTGATATGTTATCAGGCTATAATAAGGTACCCCTTGATCCTAGGGACAGACACCTCACGACTATGTACACACCTTTGGGATTGATACAAATGATGGTCGTCCCTATGAGTTGGACTAATGGGGTAGCCGTTTTTCAGAGAGCCATGGTAGCCGTCCTCAAGGACTTCATTCCTGACAAGGTTGAAGTATTTTTGGATGACTTCCCTATAAAAGGACCAGTAGAGAAAAATGAGGCAGAAGTTGTACCAGGAGTTAGGAGATTTGTCGAGCAGCACCTAACCGATATTTGCGCGGTACTCAAACAGTTAGACGATGCAAATTTGACGGTCAGCAGAACAAAGAGCCAATGGGCCGTCTCAACTATAAAGATCTTAGGCTTTATCCTGCGAAGCTAGACAAACTCCTAAACTGGCCGTCGCCGTTGCATAGTGCTACCAAGGTCCGACAGTTTCTGGGGGTGGTCGGCTACTGGCGGATTTTCATACGGGGGTATGTAGAGAAGGCTGAGCCTTTGAGGCTGCTCCTTCGGAAGGCTGAGAAACTGTACTGGGATTCTTCTCAGGAACTCGCAATGCAAGAGCTTAAAGATAAATTTAAGGAAGGGGGACGCGTATTGGGCGTGCCGTTCTTTGACGATGAGGCCAGGAGACCCTTCGTGATATCCACGGATGCTGGACCTTGTTCAGTTGGTGGTCTGCTATCTCAGAAGGATGCTGAAGGAAAGGAGAGACCGTTAAGATTTGAGCGTAGAACACTTAATACTGTTGAGCGTAACTATAGTCAATTCAAGAAGGAAGTGTTAGCTGTTCTGCGGTGCCTAGACACGTTCAGACACTATATCTACGGACGACGGTTCATCTTACGAGTAGATCCCATAGCGGTTGCCTCAGTCCTCCAGAAGGACTTTAATCTAACAGACCCGACCATCGCACGATGGTTAATACGGATTCGACTCTATGATTACACAGTTGAGAGAATATCGGGTACTAAAAATGCCGTGGCGGATTGACTTTCCCGGTTCCCTCTTGAGGCCGAGCAGTCCTCCAGAAGGACTTTAATCTAACGGACCCGACCATCGCACGATGGTTAATACGGATTCGACTCTATGATTACACAGTTGAGAGAATATCGGGTACTAAAAATGTCGTGGCGGATTGGCTTTCTCGGTTCCCTCTTGAGGCCGAGCGCCCGATAGTAGTTGGAGCCGTGACAATGGCGGAACCGAGACGCGCCGATCGATTTTTGGTTAACCTTTACGAGGGCAAATATCGAACAATCGGGCTACACTTGTCAGGAGAGGAGAGTCAAGATTCAAATGTCCGGAGACAAGCAACCCAGTACTGCCTTAGAGCGGGTCATCTATTTCGAAGACCAGTCGGGTCGGAGGTTATAGAGGAGTCAAAGGAACCTACGAAAAGGTACGTAGACTGTACTGGTGGGAGGGACAGTATAAGGATGTCGAGAGATACTGTATAACCTCCGAGGAGTGTTAGAAGAGAGCTCTTGTGAAATACAAAGAGCCACTTCATCCATCCTATCCGACTAGGCCAGGAGAGAAGGTACACATCGATCTGGTGAAGATGCCGAAAGGAATAGGCAATATGAACTATGTTGTGAACATACGAGACGACTTCACTGGATTCATGGATGGTAGACCTATCAGGAGTAAGTCGGCTAGGGAAGTGAAGAACTTCGTCCTAGAGTACTTATCTAGCTATGGTTGTGTCAGCAAGATAGTGATGGATAGAGGGGCGGAATTTCTAGCCGAGGAGGTTCAGAATGTGGTTAAGAGAGCCGGGGCGAGAGTTTCAATAGCCACCGCCTACCACCCACAGTCGAACTCACCAGTAGAGAGGGGACACCAGACTCTGATAGCGTCACTATCCAAGTGGTGCAAAGGTGAGGACATCGATTGACCACGATATTTTCAATACGCAATATGGGCGGACAACGTCACGGTCCGTGCTAGCACTGGATACCCACCATACACCTTGTGGTTCGGGCGACATTGTCCATTCCAGTAGAGTTTCACGTCGACAGTTGGACAACCGTCGACTGAGCGGAAAGGATGTCCAGAGAGGAACTAATAGCTGCCCGAGCAAGACAGATAGCCTACGGTTTGGAAGACAACCTTAGGACAACAGCAGATCGTCTGGCAGTGGAGAGGGACAAAGGTAAAGAGAGATGAGATAAGGGTGTGGTGGATCAGGAAAGAGAGGGTGAGCGTAGGAGATATGGTCCTTCTCTACGACGCAGCTCTCGAAAGGACCTGGACCGGAAAACTCGCCAACAGATGGATGGGACCTTACAGAGTGGTTGAGGCGCTCGACTGGGGTGCCTATATGATAGCAGAATTAGACGGATCCAAGTGGAAGGACCCAGTGGCGGGTGCTAGGTTAAAGCTGTTTAGACCCAGGCCTGCACCCACCTTACCGCTGACAGCCCGAAAGGGAAAGGGAAGGCCAAAATGGAGGATGAAGCCCCCTCGAGACGATATGAGGCAGGAGAGAGTTCCAAGAAGAGGAAGAGGGTGGAGAGAAGAAAGGTCAAAGGGTTGGCGATAGGAAAAAGGAAGAAATGGTTATTCGTGCTCAGGAGAGCCAGACGGAGAGTTCGTATTAGACAAGTTAACGAGTCGACACCTTTCTCGGACCAACGTCAATAGAGAGAGAGAATCCTATCCAGGCCAAATTCCCGAAGAAAAAGGGAAGTCAAGAAGCATCTTCTTAGCCCCAGAACTCGTAACAAACTGAAACATAAGACAATTAAACGCTGACGTGGGCGTCCTTTACGGGCAATCACCCTGAAGCTCGTCCGCTTCGTTTGACGTAAGTGGATAGGGCTCGATGGGGGCGTCGAGAAGTGGTCCGGGCTAACTGTCAGGTGGCCACAAGCAGTGAGCCGCCTGAAATTTGCGGCTTAGGGACTTAGGCTCAAAGACAAGTCCGTGCAATGACGGTACTCTGGTTTGACCAGGCAACAAAAATTAGGGGTACCCCGAGTATCCCTAAAATTAGATATGACGACCGTTGAGACTAACTCTCGAAATTGACAAGAAGGACGACCTCTTCTACCGCGGCGGCGTCTATCTTAATACCGCCGCATTTAGCCAATTTCCGGGACAGCCGCCTGCTGAACAGCAAGATGGAGATAGGCTTAGGCGTGGTCCTTTTACACTCCACAACTGGCGCAGAAGTGAGACCTCGGATATCATCAATTTTGATATCAAAATTAAAAATGAGAAAATAAATTAAAAACAAAAGAAGAGAAGAGAAAAACAGAATATTCATTAATTTATTCAAAATCTTTGATATTTGATTTTTAATGGGACCGCCCTCAATTATTGGAATTTATGACAATAGAGTTAAAAATAAAAAAAAGGGATCAAGGCCATAAAAGAAAAAGAAAACAAAAAATTTACGTTATTGAATTGAAGTCCATCGGAATTTATTTTTGACAAGATTGTTTTTATTTTCGTTATTTTCGATAATGGAACTAAGAAATAAGAAAAATAATTAAAAATAATAAAACGAGAAGGAAACCCACGATTATCTGATAATTAACTAATTTTTACTTAATTATTCGCGAGGGGGTTTAATTCCGAATCATTTATTTACCCTGATTCTAACGACCCTGATTCTAACGACTCTCTCAATTTTTCGATAATCGAGATTGCCGCTTGACATGCTAAACTTACCTTATTTGCTTAAGCGCCACATTGTTCCAATCAGGGTGTAGTGAGTGAGTGCGGGATGGATGCCCGACGCGGGATTACCACCGGTGCTATTTTGATTGGGCTTTATTGCTTGGGTGTTACCGCTCGGTCGATTCGGGCACGATACTCTGGTTCGGGACACGCTCGGTATTATTACAATGCATTATTGCACGGTACGACACTCGGCACCGAGCGGTATGATAATAGTGCAGGCGGCGGTAAATCAGAGCGTTTCTTCGGATCCGGCATTGGTACGCTTACTGGAACGGAACTGGTATGGAACTATTATCGCGACAGCATCGGCATGGCCGCT